CCTCTGACCTTTTCTCTTTGCTAATTTTATGCCTTTCCTGCCTGAACCATCCCCTCCCTCACACTTCTGTGCACAGCAGGAAGCAGAGTCCAGCTCCCTGTGTGCTCCCACCTGCTCAGCAAGGGATCATCCCTCCCCAGGACACTGTTCCCATCCATCCCTCCCCACACTCTGCCCTCACCCATCCCTCCCCTGAACACTGTTCCCATCCATCCTTCCCCAAACTCTGCTCTCACCCATCCCTCCCCAATCACTGTTCTCACCCATCCCTCCCCAAACACTGTTCTCACCCATCCCTCCCCAAACACTGTTCTCACCCATTCCTCCCCTGAACACCGCCCTCCCCAAACTGTGGCCTCCCCAGACTCTGCTCTCACCCATCCCTTCCCAAACTCTCTCCTCCCCAAACTCCGCCCTCCCCATCCCAGACCTGAACACTATTCTCACCCATCACCCCCCAAACCCTGCCCTCCCCAAACTCTGCCCTCTCCAAACTCTGCCCTCCCTAAACTCTGCCCTCCCTAAACTCTGCCCTCCCTAAACTCTGCCCTCTCTAAACTTTGCTCTCCCCAAACTCTACTCTCCCCAAACTCCGCTCTCCCCAAACTCCGCTCTCCCCATCCCTGCCCAGTTCTCCCAGTGCCGCCCCGGTCTCTGCCGCTCTCTCCGCGGGGTCACCTGGGCACGTACCTGTACCTGGTGCCAAAGTACTGAAAGAACACCAGGTACCGGGCCGGGGCACAGCCCATCTCTGCCGGGGGGCACCCCGGGACCCACCCCGGCACCGAGCGGCCGGGCAGCACCGCCCCTTCCCCCGCTCGGCACCGCCGCTTCCCCCGCTCGGCACCGCCGCTTCCGCCGCCGCCCGCGCCGGGGGGGCCGCGGGGACCGGGATGGGAGGATGGGGACCGGGATGGGATGATAGGGACCGGGATGGGAGGATGGGGACCGGGATGGGAGGATGGGGACCGGGATGGGCGGGAGGGACCGGGATGGGGTCATGGGGACCGGGATGGGAGGATGGGGACCGGGATGGGAGGATGGGGACCGGGATGGGAGGATGGGGAGCGGGATGGGATGGTGGGGAGCGGGATGGGATGATGGGGAGCGGGATGGGATGATGGGGAGCGGGATGGGCGGGAGGGACTGGAATGGGCTCATGGGGACCAGGATGGGATGATGAGGAGCGGGATGGGATGATGGGGACCGGCATAGGCAGGGGGCAACGGGATGGGATGATGGGGACCGGGATGAGTGGGGGGGGGGGGGGGGGGGGGGGGGGGGGGGAGGCGGGATGGAATAATGGGAAGTGGCTCATGGGGACCAGGATGGGAGGATGGGAATCGGGATGGGGTCATGGGGACCGGCATGGGAGGATGGGGAGCAGGATGGGAGGATGGGGACCGGCATGGGGTCATGGGGACCCAAATGAGCTCATGGGGACCAGCATGGGCGGGGAGGGGGAATGGGATGGGGTGATGAGGAGCAGGGAAGGAATGATGGGGATTAGGATGGCGGGGGGGGAGGCGGGGGGGCAGGAACCGGATATAGCAGGAGAGCAGGGGTGGAATGATGGGGACCAGGGATGGAATGATGGGGAGCAGGGATGGGCTGGTGGGGAGCAAGGATCTGCTGATGGGGGCCGGGGATGTGCTGGTGGGAACACCTCACCCTCACAGGGTTTTCTTTCTACCTGGAGAAACCCAAGTGGCTGAAGGTGACCTGGGTGGTGAGCACAGGGAGCAAATCCCTCTGGAACCCTGGGATTCACCTCGGCTGCTCCTCAGCTCCTGCAACTTAGTTGGACCAGAGAAAATAATAATGGTATTGATTTGACCTGTGAAACCCCATGGAGGCCACAGGAGGTCACCTTGTCCCTTCTCCTGGCCTGGGAAGGGTTCTGCAGGGCTCATTGCCCTCCCTGCCTTCCTCAGACCTGATAACTCTGGTTATTATCTAGAAGTGATCAGCTGATAACCATGTTAAACTATGTGACCCAGCTTCGGTTGCCTCAGCGTTTGCCATTGGAAACCACCAGAGCTTGACTCACTGTTTGTTTTTTGTCAGTTCCTAACGGGATTTGATCCCTGGGGCCAGTCCCAGCTCAGCATGGGGGCATCACTTACCTGTCAGTCCCCCCCTGAGGCAGAGGAGAATGGCAAAAAGTTAAAATGTTAAGGCAGGAATGTAACTCCTGCACAAAAAAGGTGGTTTATGGGGATGTGTCTCTGTGTCCAGCCCTGAGGCCTCTTGGATAAAGAGGACATGGAGCTGCTGGAGCAAGTCCAGAGGAGGCTACAGAGCTGCTCCAAGGGCTGGAGCTCCTCTGCTCTGGAGCCAGGCTGAGAGAGCTGGGGGGGTTCACCTGGAGAAGGCTCCAGAGACATCTTAGAGTCCCTTCCAGGGACACCTTAGAGCCTAAAGAGGCTCCAGGAGAGCTGGAGAGGGACTTGGGACAAGGGCCTGGAATGCAGGACAAGGGGAATGGCTTCCCACTGCCAGAGGGCAGGGATAGATGGGATATTGGGAAGAAATCCTTCCCTGTGAGGGTGGGGAGGCCCTGGCACAGGTTGCCCAGAGAAGCTGTGGCTGCCCCATCCCTGGAAGTGTCCAAGGTCAGGTTGGATGGGGCTTGGAGCACCCTGGCCTGGTGGAAGGTGTCCCTGCCCATGGCAGGGGGTGAGAACTGGATGAGTTTTAAGGTCCCTTCCATTCCAAATCCCGCCAGCACAGGCATTTCAGGCAATCCCACATCCATGTATTTCAGCCTGCCTGTGGAAAGATGTGTTCAGGCAGCCACTGGCTGAGGGTAAATAACAGCTACGGGGACAAAAATAGGCAAAGATAATGATAATACACAAAGGCTGCAGATGTTCTTAATGACTGTGATCTGTATTTAAAAATCTTGGTCTTTCTGAAACACTGAACTGCAATGTCTGTATGTGCAGAACCCTCAAACCAGTACAAACAAGCACCCAACTCGTTAGAAAAGCAGGGAGAGAGCAACAGAAAAATCCCCGGCCCCTCATACAAATCTGAGATCTGCTTTGAATGGAAAAATCCAGCCGGCTTTCAACCCACACAATGGCATCCAGACTCCATTATAATGAAAGTGATGAATCTCAGCTTTAAAGGGGACGGTAATTTCTAATCCCTGAGCCTGGGCACACACACACACACACACGGGCGGGAGCAGCCGCCCGCTTTCATCTCTGCTGGGAGCACCAAAGGAAATAATCACTGCATTGGGTTGACCTTTATGAAACCACATAAAACAGAGGCCACAAGAGGTCACCTTGCCCCTTCTGGACCGAGGAGGTGTTTGGCAGGGCTAATTCCTTTGCCTGCATTCCTCAGAACCCTCCAGCATCTGATAACTGTGTGAAGTGACTCACTTTTGCTCACACAAAGGTGCTCGTGGCTGTGGCTGACAAACCCAGCAGGTCTGAGAACCCAGGCAGAAACAAGGGGGCTGGAGGAGAACCTTGGCTGTAGTTTTTGTGTAGGAATGACATTAAACATCTCATTTCATCTGATTCCATCACGGTTCTGAGGTAAGGCCTCCTCGTGACGTCGTGTCATGGATTCAGACACCCCTGGCCCTCATGTTTGACTTGTGGTCATATTACACAGGATTTTCTTAAAAGATGGACATTTACACTTCAGGCCCTTCTCTCAGTTCCTATAGAAGTTCATCTCTCAGTTCCTATAAAATTTCCTCTCTCAGTTCCTATAAAGCTTGCAGTGAATGAGGTGGTTCACACTGTTGTGTCTGTGGTGCTGGGTGGGGGGAGGCTCAGGATTAAGCCCACATTAATTAGCCTCATTTACCCACACCACATTATGGTGCTTCTCCTGTGGCAAATGTGATCTGTTCAGCTGGACCCCCAAGCCCAGATATCTTCCTTCCTTAGGTGATTATGTTGGCTTCAGAGGAGACACTGCAGATTTATCACAGGGCTGATGGCAGCAGCAAATCCACTGTGTATAGAAAATTAAAAACTAGATTAAGTAGTAACAGGATTGATGTCAATCTTTTTGCTGCTGCTGATAAAGAATTGCACAGTTTGGTTGGTTGGGTGGTTTTTTTTCTCCAGTGCACACAACCTAGTGCCAATCCTACCTGCAAATCATGGAATGATTTGGAAGGGACCAACCCCTGCCATGGGCAAGGACACCTTCCACTAGATGAGGTTGCTCAGAGCTTTGTCCAGTCTGACCTTGGATGTTTCCAGGGATGGGGCACTGAAAGGACATTGTATGGAAGAGGGGTCTGCTTTCCTACTGTGCTGGCACTGAGAGGGAGGACTAGAGGAAACAACCTTGAGATGAGATGGTGGAGATTCAGATTAGATATTAAAAAAATGTTTCACTGTGAGGGCGGTCAGGCACTGGAATAGGTCACTTTGGGAGGTGATGGAGTCACCACCCCTGGAGGTGTTCAAGATGAGACAGGGGAGAGCCAAATCAGACATCAGAAAAAGTTTTTCACTGTGAGGGCGGCCAGGCATCGGAATAAAAAAGTGGAAAAAGAAGGGTGGTCAGGCATCAGAATAAAAAGGTGGAAGAAGAAGGGTGGTCAGGCATCAGAATAAAAAGGTGGAAAAAGAAGGGTGGCCAGGCTGCCCCGGGAGGTGGAGGAGTCCCCATCCCCTGAGGTGTCCCAGAGCCATCCGGATCGGGTGCTGGGCGCTGTGGTCACAGCGGGTGACAGTTGGACTTGATCCTAAACCCCTCTCCCAGCCCTGATGTTTTCACGATCCTATGACCTCAGAGGTCGCTCGCACCCTAATTAACTCGGTCACTGCGAGCGAAGGTGGTGCCTCCCCCCACCCCCCACTCCCACCTGAGCGCGGTGCCGGGCAGGGGATGCCCGGCGGGGCGGTGACCGCGCTCGGTCCGGGCGCGGTGCGTGGCCGGCGGTGGCCGCGGTGCCCCGGTGCGGTGGGAGGGAGGCGGGTGCCGGGCTCGCTCCATCCCCGCAGCGGCGGCGGGGGGCGGGCGCTGCCCGCGCGTCCTCGGCTCCAGAGCGGCGGGCGATGCGCTTCCTCCGCTGAGCGCGCCCAGGGCCGACCGGCAGCATGACGGTGGAGTTCGAGGAGTGCATCAAGGACTCGCCCCGGTTCCGGTAAGAGCGAGGCAGCCGGGGCGGCCCCGGGAATGGTTTCGGCCGGCTTGGCTTGGAGAGGGATACGGAGAAGACGGGCAAGGGCCCTTCCCCCGGCTCCGCGCTGCGCGGGGCCGCGCCCGGGCTGCGGAGGGGAGAGAGGGGAGACGGCCCCGGAGCCGCCGAGGGGATGGAGATGGGGCCCAGCCGGGACAGCGGGCGTTGTCCCTCCGTGCCCCGCATGCCCTCCTCCCGTGCTCCGCATCCCTGCAGTGCCCCTCATTCCACCCCGCATGCCCCCCTTCCGTACCCCGCATCCCCCCCATGCGGCTCATTCTACCCCCTATACCCCCCTTCCGTGCCCCGCATCCCCCCCATGCGCCTCATTCTGCCCCCTATACCCCCTTCCGTACCCCGCATCCCCCCCATGCGCCTCATTCTGCCCCCTATACCCCCCTTCCGTGCCCCGCATCCCCTCCGTGCCCCTCATTCTATCCCGCATCCCCCCCTCCCGTGCCTCTCATTCTACCCTGCATCCCCCCACTCCCAGGTCCCTCATTCTCCCCGTGCCCCTCATTCTACCCTGTATCCCCCCCCTTCCGTGCCCCGCATCCCCCCCGTGCCCCTCATTCTACCCCGCATCTCACCCTCCCGTGCCCCGCATCGCCCCCCGTGCCCCCGCATCCCGCCCTCCCTCCCCGCCGCGCTGTCCCGCTCTGTCCGGGCGCTTGGCACGTGAAAAAAAAAAAAAATTAAAAAATGAGGAATTCCAAGATCCGGGCAGGCAGCGCCGGATCCCGTTGGGATTGGGACGGGGCGGACGGGGCATCATCACCCCGCGGGGCTCAGCCGGACAGAGCCGATTGGAGCCGCCCGCAGAGCCGGGGCTCAAGGAATACAGTCATTTTCCATGCAGTCACATTCCCATCTCTCGGAGGGTGGATTTTTTATTATTTTTTTTTTTTTAGCGGTCTTGAAGGAATCTGGGCTATGACAACAAAGGCTCCGGCTCGGCTGCGCTGCATTCAAATCAGGCCGCCCGAGCAGTGCCCGGGGCTGCGGGAGCCGCCACGCTCCGGGGGCAGATGCTCCATTGTGCCAGGAGCATCCCGGCTGCGTGTCCGGATGGGCTCCGATGCCCCGGCGCTATAAAGGGAATATCAGAGCTTCCACTGGGAACAATCTCCTGCTGCTTTCAATGCTGTGTCTGGATGGGGACCGAGGGAAATACAGACAATAGCCTGCAGGAGCGAGCTGGCTGTGTGTGTGCAGGGGAAAGAGTTGTCGGGAAAGGGGGGGGGTCTCTCTCCTTCCTGCAGACATTTCGTGTTCCTTCTTCTCAAAACCGTTCTGTTTAATGAGTGAAACAGTTTGCGTTTGGCTTTTAAGTGCGTTTACAAAGCTTCCCTTGGAACGCAGGCTGCATCCCAAAGGCTGCAGTGGTCTGTGGCTGTGGGTTGTCTTGACAAATTGTCATTTTGTGTGTGGTTGTGGTGCAGCTGCAGGTAACACAAACACCTGGGCAAGTGCACCCTCTTTATTCCTGCGTGTGGGAATGTGCAGGGCTGCGGGAAGGGTCTTCCTCCACGTGTTTTAATTTTAATTGTGTGGTAAGGTTCTGCTCTGGCTTGTTCCAAAGCTGATTCTAAAAGGTAATGGGCAGTGTCATGTGAGATGACAGGCTGGTCCTAACCCCGGGTGGGGTTGGAATCATGGGAGTTTTTCAACAGGAAAAGGTTGAAGGCATGGACAGGTTGGCAGAAAGTAGGGAGCTCCTGCTTTAATCCCCTGCTCACTTAGCATCAATTAGAATTGATCCTCCCTTTTTTTTTCTTTCCTCTTTTTGACTGTCATTTCATCCCATTGTGCTGCAGAGCATGTGAACTTGCTCGGTGGCTTCCTTCCAGAGCTGTGACTTCACTGGCCAGATGTCTCGTTCCACATGGCAGTGACCCTTTTCCTGGTGACGTCAAGATTGATTGATATGTTTATTTATTTATTTTGCCTTTGCTGTGTGTGTGTGTCTGTGTGTGTGTGTGGGCTCCGGGCCAAGTTTCTTAGTATGCAGGCAACATCATTCTGCTCTGTCTGCTCCATCCATAAAAACAAAACAGCTCTCAGAGCACTGGGCTGGACCTTTATCAAAAGGCAGTTATTTAAGCATGGAATTATGAACTATTTCCCAAATGGCCAGACACAGTCTGACTGTTACAGGGAGAACAAGAGATTAGGCTGGAGGAATAAGGCTGGATATTTCAAGAGGGCTGAAATATATGGAGCAGGGGAATATTTAAACTGTGAACACCTTAAGCAGTGAGAAATCCTGATTTCAGCAGGGCTAGGGAAAAAAAAAACAACCAACCAAACCAAATAGAATTTCTCAAAGGTGCAGGTTTTAGCCTCCTCTTGTACTTTTCTTCCTTCCAAATCTTTAATTAGTTCTTCTGTTAGAATTATTGGTTGGTAGTACAAGAGAATCCTTGGAGGTGTGTAAGGGGCAGAGATGCTTGCTAATAACATGTCCCTAAAATTTTACAGCTATAAAAACGTAAAATATAGATATACATGTATAAATATATATTAAAAAGTGGTGATAGAAGGTAGCACATAATCCACTTTCTCAACAGAGGCTGAGACAGCAATAGCTGAAGTCCCTTTCCACAGGAAACATTGTGAAAGAGGGAAAATTTAATCCAGGTTTCCTATGCCAGTCCTTTAGGTAGGAATTACACTCCCTTTCCTGCTGGTACCCACAGAACCCCTCTGCACTTCCCAGCAAAAGGTTGTACCGTGTTTTACAGCTGGTTTATTCTCCTCAGTCATGAGCCTTGGAGATGATCAAAAATTGTCTTCTGTGTGCCAGACACAGGGAGGGCAGAAAGCTCCAAAAAAACGACACAGGCATAAACAAACACTGGATTGAACATCCCATAATAAGGCTACCAAACTGGTCTGCTTTAGCACACAACTACATGCCAAAATGCTCCAAATCAATACTAAGAATACACTCAATCCCTCAGTGCTTCCAGCTTCAGAGAGACAATGAAAACTTGTATTTCCTTTTAAATTCCGTACACTTGAATATTGTCCAACCTTCAGATGGGCAGATAAGCCTGATTTCTGCAAGGCATCTTGTAGAGACGTGCATTCAGTTCCAGTAAACAAGGATAATTACCTTGGAGGACCTGTTCTTGCACATAGATATTGTGGCTTTTCATCTCCCTGCCCTGTTTTAACTGGGAGGAGTCTGGGAAATCTAGGAACACGTTCCTGGCTTGTTCCACTTGCCCCTGGAAGCTGGTGGTCTGGGGTGATGCAGAGGAGGAGCCAGTGCTGCCCTAACCCTTGGAGATCTTTAGGGGACGGTGCCAGATGAGTCAGTTGGGTTCCTTTGGGTGTTGGAACGAGATGATCTTTAAGGTCCCTTCCAACCCAAAACCATTCTGTGATTCATTCTTTCAAAAAGGAAGCCCAGAGAAGCTGTGGCTGCCCCTGGATCCCTGGAAGTGCTCAAGGCCAGGTTGGACGGGGCTTGGAACAACCTGGGCTGGTGGAAGGTGTCCCTGCCCATGGCAGGGGCTGGGATAAGATGATCTTTAAGGTCCCTTCCCACCCAAACCGTTCTGTGACTCTGTGCCACTGTTACTCACTCGGGGTGTAAATGCACTCCAGGAACACTCAGGAGGGTGAGGGAAGAGCAGGAACAAATTGCAGAGGCTGGGCCTGGCTGCAGCTCTCTGGGGGCCACAGAAAACCCCAAATGCCTCTGTGGTGACTCCCCCAAGGGCGGGAGATGGGTGGTTATTTCCATAACTAACATTGCTGGTGTCGTTGTTGTCGCTCTTAATGAACCTGATTAATCAGCTTGTTGTGAGGTCAGGGTTCCCTGTGACCATGGGGTGAGCCAGGGCTGCCCTGACTGTAGCACAGTGACTCAGGTGCTGGAACCTTCTCACCAGGAGCCCTTACAGCCACCACAACCTACAGGAACAGACAATTAACAGCATCTCTCCGTGGACATCCCAGCTCCAGCTCACTGGGGGGGACCCCTGTGCTGCTAAACCTGGAATTGAGGTTTCCCAAGCCCAGCTTCACCTCCCCCATGCCTTGCAGCCTCTTGCCTGGTGGCTCAGACACTCCCAGGGCTTCCTGGAGCAGCGCTGTCATCAGGCAGGGACCCAGGGACATGGGCAGAGACCTTTGTTCTGGCACTGTGCAGCACCATCTGCACCTTGTTGTGGCTCTCATTAGGCAGGGAAAGGTGCAGGGATGTAATTCCAGCTCCATGAAAGGTGCAAGAAAAGAAAAAGCCACTCGCCAGAGGAAAGGAAAGTGGAAAAACGAGTACATTTAGAAAACAATCCTCGAACTCTGACTGGGGCGTTTCAAACACAACGGGAGGAATTAAAACCCTCAGTCGAACTGATCTCGCTGAGTCTGATAACAGAGGGAATTAGACAAGTTCAAAGCCAGCATAACCAGTTCTGATGCACCCAGGCTGGGTGAAGGTGTGTTAGCAAAGGCCTGCCCAGAGAAAACTCGAGTGGCTCCCGCGCGATCTGTGCCGGCCGACCCTGCCGGTTCGAGGTGAGCCAAAATTGCCAGCTTGTCAGTTCAGAGCAGATTGAAATCACGCACGGGGTGGCCAAAAGGAACTCAAAAAATCAGTTTAACCACAAAGAGCCCAGGCATCGATTTGAAATCGTTTTTTGTTACACAAGGCTTATGTAAGCAGGATCCCCGAGCCTGGTGGCAGTCGCACGACACCCACACGGAGCTGCTGCTTCTTGAATCTCACCCTAACGAGCCCAGTTGCCAGCACTTGCTGCTTCAGCTGCACGAGAGAGGAGATAGCATCATAAAAGCAGATTGATGTCATCTGTGTCAATCCTACTGCATTTATTTCTTATCTCTCTCCATCGTTGCGCTCCCGAAGTCAAAGGGAGGGGTGGAAAGGGAGAAGTCAAAGCAAGAATGTCACCGTGGAGTTAATTCCTCTCACAGCACCCTGAGATGCTCTC